GGCACTCACTCATCTCTGCCAAGAAATTTGGAAGACAACTATCTGGCTGACTGACTGGAAGAGATCCATTCTTAGGCCCATTCCAAAGAGAGGTGACCCAACGGAATGTGGAAATCATCGGACAATCTCTTTGATATCCCATGTTAGTAAAGTTTTGCTAAAGGTAATACAGAAATGGCTACAAGCATACATTGACAGAGAACTTCCAGAAGTTCAAGCCAGATTCAGAAGAGGCCGTACATAGAACGAGGGAATCATTGCTGATGTCCGATGGATCTCAGCTGAAAGCAGAGAATATCAGAAAGATGTTTACCTGTGCTTTATTGACTATGCAAAGGCTACTGATTGTGTAGATCATGACAAGCTATGGACAACATGGCAAAGTATGAGTATTCTGAAACACTTAATTGTGCTCATGAGGAATGTGTACATGGATCAAGAAGCAGTTGTTCGAACAGAACATGGGAACACTGAATGGTTTAAAGTTAAGAAAGGTGTGCGACAAAGTTGCATTCTTTCACTTTACTTTTTCAATCTGTATGTTGAGTAAATAATCTGAGAAGCTGGGTTCTATAAAGAAAAATGTGGCATCAAGATTGGAGGAAGACTCATTAACAACCTGTGGTATGCAGATAATATAACCTTGCTTGCTGAAAGTGAAGAGGACTTAAAACATTTACTGATGAGGATCAAAGGGCACAGTCTTCGGTATGAATTACATCTCAATGTAAATAAAACAAAAATCCTCACCACTGGACCAATCTACAACTACATTCTTATCAATGGAGAAAAGATTGAAGTTGTCAAGGACTTCATTTTTCTTGGATCAACTATCAACACTCACGGAAGCAGCAGTCAAGAGATCAAATGACGTATTGCATTAGGCAAATCTGCTGCACAAGACCTTTTTAAAGTGTGAAGAGTAAAGATGTCAGCTTGAGTACTAATGTGTGCCTGACCCAAGCCATGGTATTTTCTTTTCAATAACCTCATTTACATGAGAAAGCTGGACAGTGAATAAGGAAGACCGTAGAAGAACTGATGCTTTTGTGTTATGGTGTTGGAGGAGAATATTGAAAGTGCCATGGGCTGCCAAAAGAACCAACAGATCCATTTTGGAAGAAGTGCAGCCAGAGTGCTCCTTAGAGGCCAAGATGGCCAAACTTTGTCTCTCATAGTTTGGACATATTGTCAGGAGGGACCAGTCGTTGAAGAACGATATAATGATTGGTAAGGTGGAGGGTCAGAGAAAAAGAGGAAGACCCCCAGCAAGATGGATTGGCTATGTGGCAGCATCAATGGGCTCAAGGGTGGCTACAGTAGTGAGGTTGGCCCAGGATCGGACAGTGTTTCATTCTGCTGTGCATAAGATCGCTATAGGTCGGCACCAACTCGATGGTACCTAACAACAAATATATACATGTATACATATAAGACAAAATGAAATATCTGATTTTACTTTGATCATCCTCTCATGTCAATAAGTTAAATATTTACATTATCATTTTTAATATCTGATAGTATTTTATTATATTGATGTACCCTAACATGTTTGACCCAAATCTCTGTTGGTTATACAGATTTCCAAACCACTACAAATGCAAGTTATTTATTACTTGGATGAAATTCCTTGGAATTAAATCCTTTGCTATTTCCTAAGGATAAGTTCTTAGAATTGTAATTGGTTGGTAGTATACGTCCAAGCATATGCATAATTAAAGCCTTTTGATATATATTGCCAAATTGCCTTCCAGAACGTGTGCACCCATTTACAATCAGAGAGTCTATTTTCAGTGCAGCATAAAGCTTTCTCACTAGTTACTCTTGACTCAGCTGCTCATGCATGGGCTCTCAGCCAAATTCTGAGGGAGAAGAGTGGAAACTGGTGTATGGGCAGTGACTCAGAATGCTGCAAGTGGCTTGAGGAAGGAATGTCCACTGCTAGTGGAAGAAGCATTTCCCACCTTGGCATAGAAACAGGTGAAGGAAACTGTGGCAAGATCAGCATATCCTAGGACTGAGATGGAAGCTATAAACTTTCCAAGGAGAGGCCACATCAGGTCAGCAACTTGGATCTCCATGGAAAGCATGGGATCTACATGGCTGTGGAGAATGAGGACGTATGAAGAGGGAATTCGTATTGGTCAACTTCAGAGTGTGACAGATATCCCCAAGGATCTCTGAATGAGCAGGGAGGGACTATGGGCAGGGTCCCCAGGGATTTTATGTAGAGACACTGAGATCACTGCAATTATTGACCCATAGTTGTTAATTTTATCCCTGGGGTTCCCAGGGCCTGGGAAAATATAGGTTATGCTAGGGAATGAGAGTAGAAGGGCTTTGGAATTTTTACGCATTACTAGAAGATGCTATTTGATTTTGGTTCTTTGCCCAGCATAAGAGATCCCAGGGGCATACTTAAAACGAAAGCCAAGACAATCTTAAATGAAAAACACAAAAAAGTTTTATTTTATAAACATAAAACTACGTGTTCGTCAACAGAATGTGAAAGCAAGTAAACTTTTGATATGTAATATGAGAAATAAACAAGGTTAATTCCTCTTGGGAGAAGAACTTGCGTTTCATTTATCACTGGAAGACTTTGAAAGAACTTTCAACAGAAATCTTTGTAAAGAATGTAAGACGTGGTCTTGATTTAGTGGTTGTTGTTGTGTTGTTCTTAAGTGCTGCAGAGTTGGTTACTACTCATAGTGATCCTGTATATGGTTTTCGGGGAGCGGCTGGTGGGTTTGAAGCACTGGCCTTGCAGTTAGCAATCCAGTGCTTATCTTACAGTGCATGGTTGTTGTTGTTAAGTGCTGTCAAGTCAGTTCCGATTCATAGTGAACTTGTATAGTTTCTGAGGAGGGGTTGGTGGGTTTGACCAAGCTTGCGGTTCAAACCCACTTTGCGGTCCAGTGCTTTATCCTACAATGCCATACCAAAACTTCTACAGTGCCGTGGTTGGTTGTTGGTTGTTATGTGTCGTGGAATCGGTTCTGACTTATAGCGACCCTGTACAGGGTTTCCGAGGCTGCAAATCTTTACGGGAGCAGAAAGCCTCATCTTTCTCCCGCGGAGCAGCTGGTAATTTCGAACCGCTGACCTTGAGGTTTGCAGCCCGATTCGTAACCACTAAGCTATCAGAGCTCCGACAGTGCTATGGTAGATGGAGTTTATTAAAAAAGGTAACAGCACCACTGTTGTCCAGAAAGGGGCTGTGACTCAATTAGCTGTGTCTGAAGACATTCCCAGAGCAACATTCATGGTAGTTTTTTGTTTATCCAGTTCAAGATATCAGAAAAACAGTCACATTAATCTTAGTATAATATAAACCTTGTCTGAGAAATAAATCATAGGTGGTAGAGATGAGTGAAGAATTAACAACTTTTTGTTTGGCTTCTTTGAAATGTAAATTCAACTGTTAAAGTTGCTTCAGAAAGTAAACTTAGGTTTTGTATCTTTCTTTGCCCAAGACAGTGAATAAACTGCCAATACAACAAACAAGCATTTCTTTTCCTAAGGTTGTTTCCTTCTATCTTCAATTGGTACCACGGTGAATTAATTACTTACAGTCTCTCTCACTATAGCCTATCTAACAAATAAATGGTTATGGAAAAACAGGCCTTACCGTCTATCACTGGTTTTGGCTGAGAACTTTTGAGGCGAAGTGAGGGACGGAAGCGGGTTCGGTCGTTGAAGCTCCAGCTCTTCTGCACTTTGGTAGGGCTGCCCTCGGCTGTGATGTCAGTGCTCGGGGACCTCCTGTCACCTACCGAGGCTTGTCTGCTCTTAATACTCTGGCCCCTTGGGCTAGCCATGCGCACTCGCTCCTTAAAACTTAGCTTCTGACTGTGGAGAACAGAAGCATGATTATTCATTTCAAGCAATTTCCACTTGGGTAAATAATTTGATGAAACTCTATAAGATTATATATTACAACAGATACAATGTTTTCAGCAAGTAGGCGCATAGCAATGTATTTTTCCCCTTATTGAAAATTTGAGCTTTATTTAATCTCTATGTTTCCATTTATTTGAAATTAATCTCATTCTATAGGTATACGCAACTCCTTGGATTCATCAGAGAAAGGACTAAGACAAAATACAGCAGTTTGTACACAATTGCACTGGAAATAACCAACAACTAGTTTGGTATTCCCTTTATGAACACCTAGGTCATTTTAGTTTTTAACCTCATTTTTGGAGATTAAAAAAACTCTTATTTGAGAGCATCTCTGTAATTTCCAAACATTTCTACAGGGAAACAGGGATGACAATTTCATATATAATCCACATTCTGCATGCATTTTGTATTTCAGGCAAGATTATGATATCCATAAATTCATGCAATTTCATAGCAGTTGGTAGCATTGCATACATAATATTAAGCATACGACACTGAACATCACGTTTATTTTATGCTTGTATTCATTCTTGGAGACCAAAACAAGCAAGCTAGAACAGTCTTAACGTATAATGAATGTGATGACTGATTAATGGAATGAGATGTTAGGTTCACTAACACAATGTCCTGCTATTAAACAGGTTATTGATTTGCTGTGGCAGCTACTGGTAAATTATATTTGCCAAGACATTCAGTTCTCAGATGCCAGCTAAGATTGAATTCTCGTGCACTGATAAAGGAAATACTACCAACCAAAGTAGCAACAGAATCCAAAGTGCACTCTACACTTTTCTAATGAAGAGAAGAGTTATAATGAGGTAGGAAGTACAAGATGGAGTTAAAGAGACCTGGATTGGAATCCCAATTTGCCCTGTCTTATCAGTCAAGTCACTTTGCCCCTCTGGGTTTAGGAGTCCTCATTTCTAACATGGAAATAAAAATAAACCAAGGGATTTTTGTGGGAATTAATGAACCGAATGAGTATGTGAAGTAGTTGGAACATGGTATACGTATGATAAAATGTTTGGTTTCCTGGTTGAACAACATGATGAACATAATGTCGCTAAATTGTACATGTGAAGATTGTTGAAATGACAAGTGTTTTGTTACATATACGAGTATATTTGAGACTTTTTGAGGCTGATCATATGCATGGATTATTTTCCTTTGCACAGGAATGTCATCATATGTAAGAAGTTTTGTGAGCCCATTTTGTTTGTCTGCTTGTTTCTTTCAGAACCTGCTTGCGTTATTCATTTAGAAGGTGACATTGTAAGACACCTTCTGTATGGTCTGAAGAAATGATGGTACAATGGGTTTGAGGGGGAGCCACTCAGAGCAGCCACTTTGAAATGCAGAGACCTGTTCTTACGGACAAGGATTATCTGAGACGAAGTGGAGGCCTTGTCTTTTCCACTTACCGCAATGTCCACTGTCCCAAACTGCAGCATGCCAACAGCAAATGTGTTTTAGTGGATATGTGTTTTGTAACTAACAAGAAACTGTAACATTTATTTTTTCCATGCCTACTTGCTTAACAAATGAGATTCTGAGAAGACATCACATTTTATGTGTGTTTACACGAAAACAAGTCAAATCATGATCTTTGGTGGTCAGAGGGTCCTGGTAACAATAAACAATTTGACCATGCAACTGACAGCTCCTTCTCCAAAATGCAAACACAGCTAAATCCAGCAAGATTAGCTGAAGGCAACATGCAATGAACAGGATGGGCAGTTTGGTGATGGGGTCAAGTAGGTTCAAGAGTTCTTTTAAACAATCCCATCAGTTGAAGGATTTATCTGTACTCCAACAAATGTGATTAGATGACAGATATTAAGCAACAACAGTAACATCATAAAACTGCACCTTTTTATTCTCAACTTATCCAAAAACCTTCAATTAAGCAAACCCATCAAAGGGATAGTCACTTTTCCTAAGCCTTTTTTTTTTTTTTTTTTTAAATTTAATTGTAAAAATTTGAACTCTCTTTTTAGTTTCAGCACATCTGTTCCATCACTTAAAAGTAAGGTGATCAGTGCCATTATTTAGATTAATGACTGGCTCAAGTTGCCATAGTCCTCATTCTAAATTTTCTAAACCTATTACCTTTTCTGGAACTAACAAGTACTGAGTACTATGCAAGGTTGAGTGTAGTTGATTCCAAATAATTTAAAAAAATTTTAAATATATGTCTATTATACCAACTAAATGAACAAGAAACTGATTAAAGCATCATAACACCATTTAAAATAAACCTTATTTCTTCCTTTTTAAAAATTTCAGTTTCTGAAAACTAAAAAAAATCCAAAATGAAGTTATTAGAATAAAATCCACCAGGATATATCTAAAATAACAAAAGTATAAGTTACAGATGTTTCTATGAAAAATACCTTAGAAAATTGCCCCTGTAAAACATTTTGATACACTGTCTCAGAATTAATAAAAATGTGGATGATACTATTCTTTGAACTCTTGTAGCATTAAAAGCATTTAAAGGTGATATAAATTCATTCTAGATATCATTTATTCTCTTTTAAAAATTTATTTATATTGTGAATTTATATTATGAATCACCTATTCTTTTGTCCTTTCAGAGAAAGAATATTTGTCAGTGTCTAATAATAAACAAAAATTCTCAAGAACTATTTAAAAGGAAGTCAGTATTTTATATGCTAAATTAGAAAAACAAATGATGTTTTCATTTCTCTTTTGATATAATTGTAGGAAAGCTATGAATTAGATCCTAATCCAGAACTTTTTAACCAGGCAGAATTTTCTTTCCAAAGGCAAAGTTCTGCTCTTGTATCTTCTTACAAGAAGCTCCTCTTTACTGCTTTTCTACTGTATTTCTTCTTTGGAAATCAACAAAGCATCTTGATTTGATAGCTATTATACTGATTAGGTAGCTATTATTGAAAACACACATCGATTAAAAATATAGATTATCTACTGGTACATTAGTTTTCATTATTCTATTGCCTTTTTTTTTTTCTTCTTACAAACATGATTTTCCGGGAGGATTTATGTAACAGTGTTTTTAGGAAGAAAGCCAAGAATTATCCCCAGGAGACCAACAAGGAGTTCTCTCTTTGGGGAAAGTAACCAAAAAGTCACTAGAGTCATTGATTGGAAATATTTCTTAGCATGCACATCTACAATCCCAGCTGAGGACCATACTTAAGGGTGTTTTCAAAACCACTCTACAAGGATATTCTTCCCTCTCTAGATTCCAGATGTGCAAGTTGTTCAAATGACCCAGCATGCAGTCTATTAATGACTATTCACTGTTCAGGAATTCTGTGGCATCACTGTAACCCCACAGCAATCCTCTTAGACTTAGAATGTTGTAGTTATTGTTATATTTAATTAGGGCTTTAGTTTTTCATAGGATAAACATTCTACAAATTCTTACCTCAGGCACAATATAGCAACTGAACCCTACTAATCCACTGCGTGCAGCAGGTCAGCAGTTGTCCAACCACAAGGGTGCCAAGGGGCTGACTGCCAGCACTAGGCTGGACCCTGACTACTGCCCCAGAGGTAGAGTATCAAAGCAGGCAACAGGCAACAAAGGAATTTACAAGCAGGTTGAAAACTTCATTCAGAAGTCCCTAGGAAGAGTGAGTCTCTGAACAGGGCTCAGGTGAAGGTGGCAGTGTAACCTGGTCATGCACCTGAAGTTAGTTGGCATTCTCAAATCTCATGTCAATAGCCGGATGCTGGATACCTCTGCTTCCGTAAGGTGTACATTCTGAAGAGCTTCTGCTTATTACTACAGAACTTACTAGGAGTGAGGGAAATAGAGCAGCACATTACTAAGTATTTCACTACCAGGAAAGTGCTGAGGGATTTTTTTTTTTTCTTTTTCTAAAAATAAAGCCATTTGGCTTCATTGTTTATCACATATAAATGCACAGACTATGTTAGCAGTAAGCACTAACTCTAGAGTTTAATTGTGCTGCTTGGAATACATCTGATGATCTTCATGGCTACTTTGAGATAATCAGATTTGAAATAGGCATAACAAATGATGGTAGTCTATGTGTCAATATTTGTTTCATATGAAAATATCTATCTATAGATATTTATTTTATGGGGCCCTAGGATACAGGGTCACTATGGGTCGGAACTGACTCAACAGCACTTCACAACAACAAAGGAGTTTGGGGTGGTGCTATGGGATAAAGCACTGGACTGCAAGCTTGGTTTGAACTCATGGTCGGTGCTTCAAACTCACCAGCCACTCCTCGGACACTCTATACAGGGTCACTATGAGTAGGAACCAACTTGATGGCACTTAACAACAACAAAGTGGCATGCTAGGCTGCTAACAGAAATGTCAGGAGTTGCCCCACAGGAGCAAGAGAAAGCTTTCTGCTTTAGTAAAGATTATAACCTAAGAAACCCCATACAGGGCTGCTATGAGTTGGGACTGACTCCATGGCACACAGACATCAATGTAGCAGATAATATTAATTGCTTTGGGAAAAAAAAGTTCTTGATTTGTCTGAAACACTTGGCAGTTATACTAAAGTATATTATCAGATAGAATATATTTTCAAAAAGATAGAGATAAAGTTGTGGAACTGTAGGACAAACACAGGACTGCTAACTATAAGGTCAGCAGTTTAAACTCACCAGCCACTCCTTGGAAACCCTCTATGGGGTTGCAAAGAGTTGGAACTAACTTGAGCGCACTAAACAGCAGCAGAAATAGTTTATATAGAACAATTAAGTTTCTTATTTTCAGGCCTATCATATGCTTTCAAAAGTCTAAATGAGTTCCCTCTATCAATACGCAGGAGCAGAAGAAGAGACTACTTTGAAAAGATTGTTTTTTAAACAGTCTAACATTTTGTCAATAGGGGCACAAGCTGACTATGCTAAAAAAAAAAAAAAAAAGAGAGTCTAGTTGTACTAAATTTAGTTTAACAAACATGCAGATAATTCATTGAACCATTGAACACAGAAGAAGGAAAATGTAAGCACCGGAAAATAAATGCAGAAGAAATCTAAAAAGAACATATAGCCATTTCCATCTGTGTTCTAGAGTTCTCTTCTGAAAGCCACACACCTCATCAGAAAGCCAACCAAGGAGTGGTTCAGACAAAGCACTCAGCAGATGATAGCACAAGATTGTAAAGTAATAAAAATATCATTTGTACTTTCACTTTGATGACATGCACCTTTATAACAGTCTCAGAGGTATCTGTTAAAGCAACTTTAGATAATCTACTAAGAAGCCTGAATGAGTTCTATGAATGAAATGCTTTATAAACTGTCACTAAGGCAATTTAACACACAAAGAAGGCACATAGGCAACCACTGTTGATTAAGTAGACAGAGAAGCAGAAACAGTGTATTTTTTATACATCATAATGTTATATAGTATAATTGTTATAGATAATCCCAAACCTCATATCAAGATAAGGATATTGGGTAATAGGGTCTGGTTAGTTTACAGGTAAATTCTATTTACCTAGATGATAGTTATAACCAAAAAGAGAAAACAGAACTGTCCAATTGAAGAAATAATTTGAGATGATTAATTAGAATAAAATTAATAAATGTATTCACCACCATTTACAATGAGATTAGAATTGTTTTGGTGGGAAGATAGAGAAAAAAAATTAGTAATTAAATGATGCTAGGGAAGCAGTATTTCTGGCATAGGTAGAAGGAGAACAGAGCAAACTCAGTTGAAATGCATAGTAATTTATATTTGACCCTGCGCCAAAGAGAGTCAAAGACACATTTTTACCATCATTCAGCTGAGCTTTGTTAACAAATAATTATTGCGACTGTTGCTTTTTATTTTTTAAGGAAAATTTTTGAATCTGTCACACACAAGACAAAACCATCTTGGAAATGGATGTCTTTTCTTACCTAAGACATTGTAGATGAATTTATTTTAAACATATATTAACCTCACCCCAGACAAAAATTTCCTTTCGCTAACAAAAAGTATTCGAGTGCAGGGACATGGTTAATTAAGGGGGTCTATGAATATGTATGGCATGTCAGTCCATTCTGTGATGAGAAGAGCATCTTGGTACAGACTAGTCTACAAGACTCTCTCATTCAAGAGTGCCAGTTCATTGGCAAATTGAACTAATTTATGGTTGAATTAAGGATCTCTGATAGCGTAGTGGTTATGAATTGGGCTGCGAATCTCACGGTCAGCAGTTCGAAACTACCAGCTGTTCCGCAGGAGAAAGATGAGGCTTTCTGTTCCCATAAAGATTTACAGCCTCGGAAAACCTGTACAGGGTTGCTATGAGTCGGAGTCGACTCCACGGCACATAACAACAACAACAATGGTTGAGTTACTCCCAGTTCTTAACACACTGAAACCCAGGAAGAAGGATTTAGGAAATTTCAGTCTCAGAGATATCAGAAAGATAAGAGTTGGCTCCTACAAATTAAAAGTTTGTTTATGTCAAACATCACCAATAACCCAATGACAGTAAATGGCTCTGCATTTGGATGGTGTCAATTAGCTCATTTGCAATTAAGTCAAGAATTAATCAACACTAGTCTGGATCTGTCCTAAGTTGGTACTTAGGATATAGCAAATTTGTTTTACCCAAACAAAATATGCATGAAAGAAAATCCATTTGTAATGAGTGTTTTCCCTTGGAAGAAAGCAGATCTGGATCCAGACTTCTCGGAAATCGTATACAGGATTGCCATGGGTCGTAACCAATTCGATGGTACTTAACAAGATGGTACTGCCACTATTGTTATTACAACAGTCTTTCTGCATTCACTATGCAGTATTAAAAATTCCAGTGCATATGGAATGTACAGTAAAAAAGCTAAGGCAATATTAAAATAGAAACTTTAGCTGATTTCCTTCAGATTATTGCAATTTTTTTTTATTGCAATGTTTCCTTCTTTTAAAGTATTCCTCCTGTTTCCTCATTTTTGTTGCCATTTTATCTCTTTATAGCTTATCAAAAATGATTTAAGACTTACTGAGCACATTCTCTGCCATGACTTTATATAGTGTGACATGACAGATAGTTGGGGAAATAAAAGATTTATGTGTATGAAGCATTAAGTAAGGTGCACAGTACAGTACTATATGACATGTTTCAATGTCATTTCTGCCAAATGTCTAATGACTAAAGACAAGCCAAGAAGTTTTAGTGTGATTCTTCAGATCACCAACCCAGTTCAGTGGTTCTGTGCATATTCGAAATTATATGTGAATTATCTTTGACAGCCGCAGATATGAACATTTAGAATAGATTCTAATGCTTTTTCTATATAAGTGAACATCAGGACATTTAGAAAATTGGATTGTTATGTTTCTGAATTGTGACAGATGAGGAGGAGGCTTTGTTTTAGATGGGGGAGCAGAAGCTTGATAATTACATGCTAATTTTGTTTTCCTTTTCTGCCTTGCTAACATGTCCTGGTGTGGTGCTGTGGGATAAACACAGCAAGGCTGGTGGTTCAAATCTACCAGCTGCCCCTAGGAAGCCCTAGATAGGGATGCTATGAGTTGGAACTGACTTGACAGTACTTAGCAATAAGAACAACAATATGTCCTGGTGTGGGCTGTAGGATAAGCACTAGACTGCTAAACAAAAGGTTTGTGGTTCAAACCCACCAGCTGCTCCTCAGAAGCCATATAGAAGGTCGCCATGAGTTGGAATGACTTGATGGCACTTAATAACAACATGTGACAAAAGGGCAACATCACTAAGTTGGTCTAGGGTGGCCCCTCACTCAGGATAGCCATAAAATGTTTGCTTATTCAAGCATCTAACATGTCCCCTTTAGGTGTCAGTGATCTCCTTTTTGGGGAATAGAACCAAGGCAGGGGACTGTCTTCTCAGCTAGTGATGGAATTCATGACAAAGGTGGCCTTGGCCCTTAGAATGTAGTGACAAACCACCCTTAGAGATCATTTATAAATAGATAACTCCTGAACAAGGATGTTTTCCAAATATCATCAGAGAGACTAAAACACAGCTAGTAGTAACTTTTTTTTTTTTTTAAGTACAGTGATCACAAAAGAAAAATGGAGGGATTTTCATGGAGTCTGAGTAAAGGAGCTCTAAAGGGTCCGAATCGGTGAGTCTACCTCTCTGTGTCTATGCAAAGGATGCCCTGAGTCTACTGATCAGCATATCTCTTTGGGAAGAAATATCTCGGAAGTAGAGAAGGGCAAATCTTCAGGCTACTAAAACATCCTGAAAACATCACTCAGGAATATCCAATGCCTTTTGCTCTAACTCTATGTCTACTAAATAAGAGTCTTTAATACCATTTGTTTGGTAGGTTTATTTACCCAGGAGGAGTACCTGATATTTGTTCTACTGCATCTATACTATGCTCCATCATAAATGAACACGTACATATTTTGGTTTGTGAATTTTTGAAGTGTTATTAACATTAAGCAGAAATTGATTACCTAAAAACTCATCACAACTAGTTTCAGTACTGTATATATCATTAATAATGTCATTATTGAAGCAGTATAAAATGAATAGAACAAGTCCTGGGCCTGCACTGACCCCAACTCTGTTGGCAGGGGAATTTCTTTGTTTCCTCTTTACTGAAGCATGTGATAGGAAATAAACCACATTTCTTTCGCTTCTGGGCACCTGGGATTCCCTTGCTGGTTCTGCCCCTCCACTCCTTACACCATCAGAGCTGGGATGCTCCTGGAACTGTCCTTCAGGGCTTTGCTTCCATATCTGGACCCTTCTTGACATTGTCTAACACAAATCAGTATTTTCTCTTTCACTTCCTATTCTCTCTAAGTCCAACTCTGCTATCCTGTTTGATTAAGCAGTCTTCTAAAGCATTGAAGAGTTAAGTTTCTGGGCAGATTATCTTCTTCCTTAAGGACGGAGGACCCTTCCTTTGACTGAGACCACCTGAGTAAACCTCAGTGTACTGGAGATGGCACAGTCAGATTGTTCCTATCTCCTGTACACAGTGTTCCTCTTGCCAGTAAAACAATTTCTCAGCCCAGAAGAGAGAAAATGAAGGGGGATTATGTCTTAGCTTCCAGGGACTGAAAATGCTGCTTTTTTTTTTTTTTTTCTATCCTGTAGATCATAGAAGTATAGCACTTGGATAAGACTTCTAGGAAAATAACATTAAGAAATAACCAAAGATAATAATTATGACTTTCCCCTCAAGAATGCTTCAGATCCTGTAAATTTTAAAAAGTACCAAGTGAGTTAGAGGAAGATACTTCTGCTCTCAAGTTAAAAAAAAAAAAAAATCAATAAGATAGCAACTTTTGCAGACAATCTTGTGAAAGGCCACTTTTAATCATCTAGTATTTTTTGATCGATTTTACCCACATGAGACACATTTAAAACATCTGTTAGGTACCAGTTTTATAAACAAACATGTATCAGAAGAGAAATCACAAACCTGCTCGATGCTTCCCCTTGTTCTTTCCTTCAGGTGCGTGCAGACAGAAGAGAAATGATGATAAACTGATGAGTACATTTATAGCATTTGAGAATGGCCAAATTGGAGACTGTGTATCAGGTACCTTTAATACCCATTTCAAGCAAGAACCACAAAAGCAATATTCTTTATGAAAAATACACTAGAATTTCCAACATTATTTGTGGCACAAACCTGAAATAGTATATTTGTTTCTAAAACCAATATAATCCACACGTAACCAAAAACCCTTAGATTCTTCATAGCAAAAATTTATACCTAATTATTTAAGAAGTGTTTCTGATCTAACTGGCATTAGCTAAAGCACTTGGAAAATGCTAGTTACACTGTAGCTGTTGCTCCTGTGTTTTAGGTGGATATTTGGGTTTCTTAATCTGTATTTATGTGAGCCTATGGTCTTGTACCTTGCATGAAAAATTTCTTTTTCATACTGTATAAAGTATGAATTGCCTTGGAGCACACTAGACACATAGAAAATCTATCAGATCTCTTTCAGCTTACTGTTGAGTGGCACTTTAAATGACTCAGCTCTAAGTGACATGGTATATATAGTAGGCACATTTGAGTCCTTACTTGTATGTAAGCTGTGTTCTTGGGCATCGTTTTCTGTGGGTCTTGACTTGCTCATGAATAAACAGAAGGCATTGGACTAGATAATCTCTGTTTTCATAAGGCCTCACATGGTATCCTTGGAGCTTGAAAGTTCTCCATAGCTTCATAAAATATCTGACTCATTTCCTAAAATAACACATTTGTCTGTGTTTCACCCTTTGCTTGAGTTTTGTGTTTTGCCCTTTGATAAGAAAATACTTCCTTTTTCAAAATCCTTCTGTTATTAAAATCAAACTTTGAAATAACAATTGCTAAGACTACGAAAGTATATATAAGAGACAAATCAGACCAGAAAAGAGAGAGAATAAGAAATGCTGGGCTCTATCCCTAGCAAGCTCGAGCAGGTATGGCGTATTCCCTTTCCTTCCTTAAACTTCTTTCTCAGACCCTTTCTTCCTTCTGCTCTCTAGGATGAGGTTATGGGGTCAAAGCATCCTAATGCATCTCTTGTACTATGGGGAGGAAGAGCCTGAAGTTGGTGTCATTTTATGATGATAACAATGATGATGATGACAATGAAGATAATCTTATCTCTTCCCTGGCAATCTGTTTAAAACTGCATGCTCCTAAATTCCTTCCTTATTTTATTTTGCTCCTCAGCACTTAACATTAAAAAAAAAAAAGTCTATTTCCAGTACCTCTTGAATATACAGTTGACCCTTGAACGATGCAGGGGCAAAGAATGCTGACCCCCCTGCAGTAAAAAATTCAGGTATGACTTTTGAATTTCTAAGAATTTAACTACTTAACCTCTGTTGATTGGAAGTCTTACTAGTAGCATATACAGTCTATTAACACATATTTTGTGTACGTATTATATACCATATCCATGTGAAAGCTGCATTTTCAATATAAAATAAAAAGGCATTTCATAAAAGGTGCAAGGTTTTCACACACTGGAGTAGCTGCAGTGACGGCTTAATGACTTTTATCTTAAAATGGGCAACTGTAGTTGCAGATCTCAATTTATGCTACATATCAAATGATTAGTTTTTCTTGTAATGTTATGACTTTTCTCTGCTTCTTGGGAGTACTTCCAGCATCAATAGTGGCACTTCATTCATGGGTACCATGGTGTTATTCACAGTTTTCAGTATTGCATTAAGCATGATGAAAACTACGCAAGAACCATGAGAGATCACTTTTTACTGTGATATGAAATTGAATGGAGAAATGAACTGCTCAAGGCAGATGATTAGAATCACATGATACTTGCTTGTTTGTTTTTCAAACCAAGTATGAGTGGACCCATGCAGTTCGACTCTGTGTTGTTTCAAGGTCAACAGTATAAGCTATGAAGGCTGTAATTTTGTCCTGTGGTTTTCTTCCATTACTACATTCAGTTGGTGTGTGGCACATAAAAGGTGCTCAATGAGTACTTGTTGAATGAATTCATGAATGAATGAATAATCTTCCCTTCCCAAAGTTACTAAATTCCAAACACAAAGGGAAATGTTGTTGTTGTAAATGTCGTCAAGTTGGTTCCGACCCATAGTGGCCCTGAATAGGGTTTCTGAGACTATAAATCTTTGCAGGAGCAGAAAGCATTATCTGTCTCCTGCAGAGTGGCTGGTGGGCTCAAACTTTGGAACTTGTGGTTTGAAGTCTAGTGCTTATTCTATAGAGTGACTGCATTCCCAAAAGGAAATGCAATTATGTAAGTAAAATGAAGTTTTGTTTTGTTTCACAGGACATTACTCTGCACTCCTTAAGTTAACTAATTATAAATGCAAAAATATCCCCCAAGCCATTGTAAATTATTCTCCTCATAAAGCTACAGACTTGGTTAAAACAGGTTTTCTTTCTAACGCAAAGGTTCTGAAGTTGGCTTTAGGGAACCTATGAATACATTAAAATTATACATAAAGTTTTGATTTTTTTATTTATTGAATATTTTTTCTTGGAAAAAAATCCATAATTTCCATTACATACATTCTCAATGGTTTAACAAAAACAGCAGCAACAGCAAACCATCAAGAACCACTGCAATTTGAAACAATGAAGTATGCTGGGGGAGAGTTGTTAGGGCATTCAGGATCCCATGATCTTTGCCACTGACTTCAGTGTCATTTTAAACAAATTACAGTTATTCAGTAAGCAGAGCTGAAACTCCAAGGTTAATTACAGGTTCAGGGGAAGGAGAGTGAGGGGGTGGGTGATAGTCATGGGGAGGCAGGATATATGCAGGTGTTTGCATCAATCCTTCCACTCATCTATTCCTACCGAAGACCGGGGAAATATCAGAAAAGAAAAATTATGTGAGTAAAGAAGTATTCATGCACTGGGAAAATTTGAGTCATTATTTAAGTAGTTTTTCCAGGTTTCAGAATGATGTTTAATCCCCAAACTGCATTAAGTGGGAAGCCAAATAATTACATATGACAAAAGACCATTCTTCTTCTGTCACTTTAGAATCCTCTCTTGGTTTTCCTCCACACCTTTTCCCTTTTCACTTATCTAGCAGCCTTCATGAAGACAAGGAGAACAATTTCTATATAATTTCCATTTTTTATTCATACACCCAAGGAATAGATGGCACAAGAGTTACCTTCATTAAAAAAAAAAATCAGAACTTTGAAAGAGCTTAATACTCATAATAAATTATTGATGACATTGTGAAGTATAGGAATTCCAGAACTTATGTAAAATCTGTACATAGATCAAGAAGAGACAATGTTTGAACAGAATAAGGGGGTACAACGTAGTTCAAAATCATGAAAGCTGTGTATCAGGGTTGTATCCTTCTATTAAATCTGTATGCTGAGCAGATAATCTGAGAAGTTCTGCTATATGAAGAAGAACATGGTATCAGGATTGGAGAAAGACTCATGAATCTGTGATGTGCTGAAAGTGAAGAGGATTTGAAGCACTTACTGATGAAGATCAAAGAATACATACAGCCTTCAGTATGGATTACACTTCAACATAAAGAAAACAAAAACTCTCACAACTGAACCAATAAGCAGCATCATGAGTAATGGAGAAAAATTGAAATTTACAAGGATTGCAATCAAAGCCCATAAAAGTCAAGAAAACAAATAACACATTGCATTGGGCAAATCTGCTATAAAAGACCTCTTTCAAGTTTGTTTGGTTTTTAAAGCAAAAGTGTCACTTTGAGGACTAAGATGCATTTGCCCCAAGCCTTGATATTTTCAGTCACCTCAGATGCATGTGAAAGCAGGAAAATGAATAAGGAACTGAAGAAGAATTGATACCTTTGAATTAAGGTGTGAGTTAAAAACAGTGACTATAAAATAGATTGCCAAAAGAATGAATGAATCTATCTTGAAAAAAGTACAACCAGAATACTTCCTAGAAGCAAGGACAGTGAAACGGCATCTCATGTACTTTGGATATGTTATTGGGAGAGACCAGTCCCAAGAGAAAGATGTCATGGTTGGTAAAATAGAAGGTCTGCAAAAAAGAGGAAAACCCTTAACAAGTTGAATTGACAAAAAAGAGGACAAATCTTAACAAGATGAATTGACACAGTAGTTACAACAGTGGGCTCAAACATAGCAATGGTTGTGAGGCTGGGCTAGGACTGGGCAGTGTCTCAATCAGTTGTACATAGTGTTGTTTTGAGTTGGAACCGAATTGCCCGTACCTAACAATGGTACTCAATAAAAGGAGTTCAGTTCAGTTTTAAAATCTAAATTAAAAGAGGCTTCTCATTCATACGTTCATTCAACCAGCACTTGTATTTCTAGATTGCTAAGGTTCCATCCAGGTCTAAAATTCTGGGAGGAAGGTAAGTTTATGCTTATCTCTGCCCTCTCTCTCCCCTCACCCCCCAGGGATTTTATATATCACAGATACTGACAAGAATTTAGACACCAATATCCTATTAGAATTAAAAATTATCTTGACCAGCTCTTGTCCTTCACTTTGTGAATGGGAAAACTGAGGCTCAGGCAGGGCAGGGAAGCAATGCAATAAACATTACATTTATTTATAGTAAAGAAACAATAAACATGTTTATTTGCAATAAATATAAATGAATGCAAACATTTGAACGTTAATTTCAAATTTTAATTTGATTAGTCCTATTGTCTCACTGTGAAGTTATGGTATGGCACTGTGGGATAAAGCAATGGCCCACAAGGTCAGTTTGAACCACAAGGTTGGCGGTTCAAACTCACAAGCAGCTCCTTGGAAACTCTATACAGTGTCCCCATGAGTTGGAACCAACTGAAAGGCACTTAACCACAACGACAAAATTGTCTCACTGTACTTCTGGTGTGGTGCTGTTGGATCCACACTGGACCGTGAACTACAAGATTGGAAGTTCAAACCCATCAGCTGCTCCTCGGAAACCCTATCCAGTGTCACTATGAGTCAGAACCAACTCGATGGCACTTAACAACAACATTGTTTCATAGTTAGGCGATCTGGTAGCGTAGTGGGTTAGGAGTTGGGCTGCTAACCGCAAGGTCAACAGTTCTTAGCTACCAGCTGCTCTAAGAAAGAAAGATGAGACTTCATGCTTCCGTAAAGATTTACAGCCTCACAGACCTTATACAGGGATGCTATTAGTCAGAACCGACTCCACGACACATCACCACCACCACCACTATTGTATCACTGTAAACTATAATCATATTATGGTCTTGATTTGCATCTCTCTTTTGCTTATTTTTACTACTGATATTAGCTTGATTTGCAAACTAGATCTGCTGCTTCCTAGTCCCGTGTGTGTTTGCTGCACCACAAACTGTTTAGACTCTAGTTCCTGAGAATAAGTCATTAAGGCTTTCCCAGCCAATTTCCCTTCCAGATCAGTAAGAAAGAGGAGGTTGATCTGACTGAGTCCAAATTTAGGTGCCCTGAATCCTATGGAGCACTAGAATTAAAATTTTGTTGGATTATGAAGGGAAACAGCAGGTATGTTAAAATACTAACTCAGCTAACAACTTAACTTTGGAATAACCTGAGGAACTATTTCAATCAAGCTGGAGGACACTAGTCTTTCCCTTGACTTGCTTTGCTTGTTTCAACCAAAGGCTTCTTTAATTAGACTGAAATTATGATGTAACATGCACATGCTCTGTTACTTGAACTGGAGACCAGGATTCCATGACTGAGGGTCTTTTTTTAAATTAAAAATGATTGTGATAATTATCAGTACTGTTTGTAATGTTTCTGGTTCTCTCTCCTTCCAGGCACTTCCTCATCTCCTGTGAGTTTAGGCATGGCCATGCGATTTTCTTTGGTCAATGAACTATGAATGAAAGAAATTTCATTATTTAAAAATTTTGAATGTTAATTTCTGATTTTAAGCTGATTAGTCAAATTGTCTCTTTGTAAACTATAATCGTATTAAGATGCTGATTCTTCTCTTCTTTTTCTACTGATATTAATTTGATCTTCAAGTGAAAGCTTATCCTTTAAGGGGGTCCAGGTGAAAACTGTCTTTGAGAGACTGAAGTATGCAAAAATACACTGCTCTGCTCTCAAAGCACTCACCTCTTGGGATTGGGAGATGGACAGATGACATATAATTATTGTTTTTCAAGGTAAATGGTGCTTACCTTTAGAATTCAGTTGGGTTTAAAGAGATTAGATGTTAGAAAATAAGAAATCTCTATAAAAGTTTAGAGTGCTTTTTAGTCTTTAAGCCTAATCTGTGGATGGTGAGGAATGACACTAAAATCATTCAGTTTTGTGCCTGAGTTGTTACTAAACAGTTTTGAATCTCTCAAAGAGCAGCAGAGAAAAAAAACAACCTGTATTATTATTTTGCATGTGGCTTGTTTTAGAAACTTGAAGAGACTCCACTACAGCACTAGCTGTCATACTGATACCTACTTGGTAGGGCTGCAGGTGTGCAAGGCCTTCAAGTGTGGCTTCCAGGTTGCAATGGAAACAGATTTCTCATCAGCTGCATAACTACGCCAAACGCACTGCACATGGCATACATGAAAACATAAAAGAGAAAAACAAAAGAGAGCAGAAGATAGAATGAAAATGAAAAAGAAGGTAATTAAGCTAAGACACATTAAGTATCTTTGCCTTATCATACTTGACCCTCATACACGCCTATAGGATGAAGAAGACTATCATTGGCTTTTTGAGCTGACTGTAAACCATATTTCATAACATTTGTAGAATTACTTTTCAAAATAATTCACACCAAATCCCCAAAGTACAAAAACTATAACAAAGTAATTCATTAATTGCTTAGAGAAAGATGTGGTGCTGTAGGATAATGCACTGGACTGCAAGGTCAGTTTGAATTGCAAGGTGGAGGTTCAAATCCACCAGCCGCTCCTAGGAAACTCTGTACAGATTCACTATGAGTCGGAACCAACTCGACAGCACTTAACAACAACAACAACAACAACAACAAAACAAGGAAAGTAGTGATTGACTTTAAATAAATATTGATGCCCATGATACTAGTTAGAGAAACTACCTAAGCACAAACATGCATTCCAGGAACCAACTGTACACATTTCATTAATGTTTGATAAATTAGAGGCAAACATTATTGAAAATTTATAATCCAACTAGGAAACTAACTAGTCAACCAATGACTGCCAGTGTATCTTAATAGTTTAGTTAGTAAAATTCCTTAAAGTTGAACTACTTTAAATCATGGTAACAAAACAAGGTAGGGGGAACTGTCTTCTCTGGGGAATATACTCAGAAAGCACTAAAGGATTTAAGGTGAGGTTCTAAGAATAAGTTTATTGCTCTTTGAAGTAAAACATAAGCTTTCTCTACTTTATGTCATTATAACTGATATATAAAATATGAAGTATTTTCTTTTGACCCTGACAATCAAGGAACAGATTAAGATCTTCTTTTATTATTATTTTTTAAGCAGTTAACTAGTGTTTATTGAATGCCTATCTGCTGCTTTAAAATTTTTTACTGAGTTTATTTATAATAGGTTGTTGTTTTTAAGTACTGTGAAGTTGGTTCCGACTCAATAGCAACCTTGTATAGGGTTTCCAAGGCTTTAAGAATTTGCAGAAGCGGAAAGCCTCATCTTTTTCCTTTGGAGAACTTGGTAGGCTCGAACCACCAACCTTGTCATTCAAAGTGCAGTGTTTATCGTATGGAGCCACCATACTCTCTCTATATATGCCTTATATATAATGGCATATATAAAACTTACCATTATATTAATTTTAAAATGTACAATTCAGGGATATTAGTTAATTTACAATGCTTTACAGCCATCACCACTATGTATTTCTAAAACGTGGTCATCACCCTAAATAGAAACTCAACCTACTGAGCAATAATTCCTCATTGTCCCCTTTCTTAGCCTCTAATCTACTTTCTATCTCTATAAATGTGCTTATTCAAGATATTTAATATAAGTGGAATCATACAACCCTTGTCCTTTTGTCTCTAACTTATTTAACAGCATAATAATTTTGAGGTTCATTCATTTTGTAGCATCTATCAGAACTTTATTCTTTTTATGGTTGAATAGTATCCCATTGTGTATATATGCTATACCTTGTTTACTCATTCATCTGTTGATGAACACCTGGACACTTTCCAATTTTTGGCTATTGTGAATAACCCTGCTATGAACACTGGTGTACACATATTGGTTTGGGTTCTTCTTTTCAATTCTTTTGGGCATATATCTACAAATAAAATTGCTGGGTCATGTGGTAATTCTCAGTTGAATTTTTTGAGGAACCATCCAATTGTTTTCTACACCATTTTAAATTCCCTCCAGGAATGCATGAGGAAGACTCCTATTTTGCAGATGAGATAATAAATTGAGAAGTTTTCACAAGATTCATAGAATTGAGACAATAGGCACTCAGATTTCTTGATTCTTGGTCCTGGAATCTCTCCACCTATTCTTCCTGACTACCTGATGACTATTGTAGGATAAACTTCCAATTTAACTGTTCCTTTGAGAGACTGCCTGAACTTGTAACAAGTCTGCAAATGTCTCAAGTGACAAATTTCCAATACCTCCAATTTCCAGAGAGAAAAATTTCTTTTTTAATTCATTAGTCTAAGCTTTCTTTATGGTAGTGGTGTGCCGTGGAGCCAGTTCAGACTCATAGTGACCCTGCAAAGGGTTTCTGAGTCTGTAAATATTTACGGGAGCAGAAAATCTCATCTTTCTCCTGTGGAATGGCTGGTAGTTTCAAACTGCTGACCTTGAGGTTAGCAGTCCGACTTGTAACCACTACACTACCAGAGAGCTCCTTATTCTACTTTATGGGACAAGTTAATTTAAATGAGTCATATTTTTGTGTTGTTAGATGTCATCAGTTTGGTTCTGACTCATAGAAATCCTATGTACAACTTGTACTGAAACATTGCCTGGTGTTGTGCCATCCTCACAATTTGTTGCTATGTTTGAGCCCATTGTGTAGCCGTTGTGTCCGTGCAGCTCATTGAGAGACTGCCTCTTTTCTGATGACCTGTTTTACCAACCATAATCTGTTTCTCCAGGAATTGGTCCTTTCTTAGAGCATGTTTCAAAGTATGTGAGACGAAGTCTTGCTATACTTGCTTCTCAGGAGTATTCTGCTTGTACATTTCCCAAGACTGATTTGTTCAAGCTTCTGGCAGTCTATGGTATATTTGATATTCTTCATCAACACCGTAATTCAAAGGCATCGGTCATCATTATTCATGGTCCTGCTTTCACAGGAATATAAGAATACTGAAATATCATGGTTTGGGTCATGTGCACCTTAGTCCTCAAGGTGATTTTTGCTTTGTAATACTTTCAAGAGTTCATTTGTAGCAGCTTTCCCCAGTGCAATATGCTGTTTATTTCTTGAATGCTGCTTCTATGGGTGTTGACTGTGGATGGAAGTAGAATGAAATCCTTGACAACTTCAATCTTTTCTCCATTTATCATGATGTTGTTAGACCTCTTTCTGGTATTCTTTGCTTTCAGACAAGATCCATCTAACACCAGCAATAATATCCCTAGTTTCAAGTCCTCTTTTGAATTTGGCTTGACTTTCTGGCAGCTCCTCATGTGCTGCTATAACTGTTTTCTAAATATGTTCAGCATAATTTTACTTGCATGTGATATTAATGATAATGTATAATTTCCACATTCCATTGGATTACTTTTCTTTGGAATAAGCACATATTCTCTTCCAATCAGTTGGTCAAGTAGTTGTCTTCCAAATTTCTTGGAATAAACCAGTGAACACTTTTAGCACTGCATCTGTCTGTTGAAACAACTCAATTGATATTCTGTCAATTTTTGGAGAATTGTTTTTTTTGCCAATGCCTTTAGAGCAGCTTTGACTTCTGCCTTCAACAACAGACATGCACGATAATGTTCAAAGCAGCACTATTCTTATTCAACCAAAACTGGAAATGTCCAAATATCTATCAGCAGCAGAATGAATAAATTGTGGTATATTTACATAAAGTACGAGTACACAACAATAGTATGCTACAATTGTACTAAGTGATATGGATGAACTTTATAACAAATGAAAAGTAAAAGAATCCCCAGACTCAAGGTTTCCATAAAGCCCCCCAAACATGGAAAACTAATCTATGTTGATAGATGATAGTGGTTATTGTTGGGGAATAGTAATGGAGAGAGGTGCACATTGGATTGAGGTAATGGTCATCATGTTTTGTTTTTTTATCTGAATGTTTGTCACACAGGGGTGCTTAGTTCTCTGAGGATATGTTTATTATATTTTTTTAAGTATGTACATTCACATATTGTACATCAATAAAATGTGCAAAATGTAACACAAAAAGTAGAAAAATATAATAGAACCTGAAGGTTCTTTTTATATTACTAAGGAAGTTTTAAATTAATGGTGCTGAGTTTTTTGCCTACAGACTCGCTCCCATGTTTTCTTTAAATATGTGTACGTTACTAAACTAGGCTTCTTATAGGGAATAAAGCAATCATTGTTTCATTTTTAAATGTCAGTTTTTGCACATTTTTATGCATACACAATTTATAAAGGGATCTGGAGTAATCAGTGAAGCACATGGATTTATTGTTACAATTTTTCTAGTCAGGTCCAGAGGTCATCCAGTTAGCATAAACATCTGCTTTTTAGTTAAACAATTTCTACAGAGACCGTCAGATATTCATAAACTCTGCTACTTTGAAAGCCACACTCAGGTGAAAGTAGAGACATGCAGCAGGTATACGCATTGCTAGATACCAGTAGAAAAAAACTCCTAAGCAACAATACAACAAAAAATGGGACTACGACATTATCTGCCAATGTTATAAAGAATTGAGGGCAAAAGAGGCCACTCTGAGAAGATTGAAAATTTTCTTTACAATGAGATCTGCTTCTTGCTCTTTTTAAATCAAATTGATCTCAATAGCTAAGCTCTTTTGCTTTTCTTAACTCTTCTCATAAAAAATGTTTTGTAGACGAGACATACAGAAGTGGCAAGTGAGATCTATTCTCCAGGCTGGTATTAGTTAATCATCAAAATGGAAGAGTAAAGTGTAACTCCATTACTCTTAAACTCCTATAACTTTGTACTGTCCTTATCTGTCTCTCTCAGGTAATCTTTTCAAGTAGCTGAATCTTAAGCCCACACTGTATGATCAAGTCACCGAGGTTCCTAGATATAAAGACAAAATCACATAATGGTTGGCAAGAGAAAAATAATGCCTTGAGAGATTTCATGCAGTCAGTTTAATGGCATATACACTCCAAAGGAAGTACTGGTGTGCCACTATAGGGCAAGCACTGGACTGCTAAACACAAGGTTGGTGATTCAAACCCACCAGTCGTTCCTCGGAAATCCTATACAGGGTCACTATGAGTTGGAATCTACTTAATGCAACTGATCTACTTGATGCAACCTAACAACAACAACAAAATACTCCAAAGGCAAGTTAACAAGAAAAATGAAAGTCAATTTTACCATTTGCCTAGCTGCTCTAAACAGTTAGATAAATTCAAAC